GCCAGGCGGTTCTCCTCCTCCTCCTCCTCCTCCTCCTCCTCCTCCTCCTCCTCCTCCTCCTCCTCCTCCCCAACCCCCTCCTTCGGTCCCGAAAGGGCAAGCGCTTTCCTGTCGGCGCTTCTGCTGGGGCCGGGGCGCGCGGCCCCGCTGCCCGCCCGTGGCGTGCTGGCGCCTCGCACGGGGCCGCTGCGCCGGAGGAGCGCAGACTTCGGTTGGGCGCATCTCTCTGCAGGAGGAGTCTTCCAGAATAGCGAAACGATGGTCTGGGGATGATGGTTCGACAATTGTTTCGACCATCCATGGTTACTTTCTGATTATCTTCTGTTCGTCGCCCAAAATCCGCCTGCAGGAGGAGTCTTCCAGAATGGTGAAGAGATGGTCTGGGGACGATTTTTGTTCGATGCTTGTTTTGACCGTTCATGGCTATCTGCTGCTTATTTTTGTTTTGTTCGTCGCCGAATAGCCGCCTGCAGGAGGACATGCCCGACCTAAGAGAAGGTCGACGCGGAGCCCATCTCTCGTGGCTTCCGGCGCGGGACCGCCACGGCGACGGCCGGGCCCGCGCCCCTCGCAAAACGGGGCCCGACCGTAGGAGGGCGTCGGGGGCATGCGGGGGATCTGGACCGTCCAGGGCGGCTGACACGGGGCCGCCACGGCAACGGCCAGCCTACGCCCATCGCGACGGGGCCCGATCGCAGGAGGTCGCTGGGCATGTACGGAGGAGTCGAGGAGGAGGAGGAGGAGGAGGACGTCAAGAGAGGCGTGGCCATTCGTAGCCATTCGCATCCCGCCCTCTCTCCCCCTCGCCTCCTCGAGCACGATGGTCTCTCCATTTCTCTCTCATGCTCTCTCGCTCTCGCTCGCGCATTCTCTCGCCTTCTCACCCACCCGCTCATACTTCATCCTTGCGCGTTCTGCTACCTGTTGGGCTGGTTCAGGCGTTCGACGCTCGGGAAGGTGACGAGCAGGCCAAGCTCGACATGGACATGGCGGAGAAACTGGCCCGCTGGCAAGGCGCCGAGCGGACGAGGAGGGACGAGTGGCGACGAGGAGCAGAAGGAGCAAGAGGAGGGGGCGGGTTGGGGGGGACGGGGGCCAGGGAGGGGGGCCAGGAAGGGGGGCATGGAGCACGGGAGGGCTCGTGGCCGCACGGACGGGGTCGGGCGGTCCGAGGGCACGGTGCGCTCGGTACAGTCTGCACATCGGCCGCGGTCGACATCTGAGGGTGAGCCAGTATCGCTTGAACGACCCCTAATCCTGAGCCCAACGATCTCAACACCTCAGTTGGGAATAGACCCGAAGCCCGAAGGACACGGCCCATACAGTGGAGGCCCATGCCAAGAAACACGCTGCTTGCCTCCAGGGTGCCTTGGATTTCTTGGGTTTCGATGGTTTTGCTATGGAAACCGTGACGTTCCCAGACCAAACATCAATGGACGTCCTGGGGTCTCAGGGTTGGGTTTCTTGTGGAGGGTTTCTTATGGTCGGGCCTCCGCTGTATCCCAATCTGGGGGGGGTGGCGGGGGGGCAAAACGGCCAGTGGGGCCCAAGCCACGCCCATGTGACAGGGGTCGATTAGACGATGCTCGGTGACATCTGGAGGCTGGGCCACCCGCAGGGGTCGTGGCATGGGCCGGACAGTTGCCCTTCTCCGGGGGGCGGCGCGGAGAGTCGCGCTCTGCGCAACGCCAGTCGCGAGGAGGCGTGACACCTAGGGAAGGAGGAGGAGGGAGGAAGTAGTGCGGAAGTGCGCGTGCATTGGAGGTGGGGGAGGCAATGTGGGTTAAGCCTAGGCCGAGCCGCGCCCCCCCCCCACCCACACACACACACACACATTGCATCTGAGAGCGGGTCGCCTGTGCAGACGCCTGGGCCTCCCATGCATGCGCCCGTTTTCTCAGGTCAGCCGCCGTTGGGCGTCGGCATCTTGCTAGACTACAAAAAACATCCACTTGGATTGACGGGCCAACCAACATTACACACTGTTGTCGATGGTGTGTTGGTGCTGTATTGGGAGCCGTTAATCGCGCCTGCCGTGATCAGGGTGATTCGTGGAGCACTGTGGCGTCGTCGATCATCTCCTCTTACGTCCTCTCAGCTCCTTCCCAATGTTGTTCAGTCCGTGCATCTTAGACTATCGAAGACGCCTACGGCGAATCACCGCCGCCCCATGCCCCTTTTGAAGCGCCTCTGTGGCCGACAGCTGGGCCAGAGCTTGGCCAATCTATCGGGCCAGTTGTTCCCCGAATCGGTTTAGAAAGACTTCGGGGAATGCGTGGGGGAGCAAGAAGAGGAGGAGGGGGAGGATGAGGAAACAGCAGGAGGAGGAGGAGGAGGAGGAGGAGGAGGAGGAGGCCTCTTGGGCGCCTCTTGGGGCACTCTTGGGGCCTCCTGGGAGCTTCCTGGGGGCCTCTTAGAGGGTTTTGAGAGGCCTTTGGGGGCTTCTGGGGGCCTCTTAGGGCGTTCCTGGCTTGTCTAACGCCGTCGGACGCCGTCTTGGGGGCCTGTCTGGGTCGTCTTGGGGCCCTCTTGGGGCATATCAGGGGTTCTTGGAGGCTATCTTGGGCGTCTTGGACGCCTCTTGGGCCGTTTAGGTGCCCTCTCGGGGCCGTCTTGGGGGCCTTTTGGGCCGTCATGGGGCCATCTTGGAGACCTCGGGCCGTCTTGAGCAGTCGGAATGCCGAGAAGAAACAAATGCCACCATCTTTCAAGACCCTTAGGCAAATCCATGATTTTGGCCTCTTCGTGTCCTCCTGGAAGACATCCTGGACGCCTTTTGGGCAGTCTTGGAGGCCTCTTGGGGGCCTCTTTGGCCATCTGGAGGCCATCTCAGGCCTTCTTGGGTGCATCTTGGGCCGTCTTGGAGGCATCTTGGGGCCATCTTAGCCGTCTTGGAGGCCATGTTGGCCGTCTTGGGGGCCGTCTTGGGGGCCTCTTGGGGCCGTCTTAGGAGTCTCTTGGGCCATCTTGGAGGCCTCGTGGGTGATGTTGGGGGCCTCTTGGGCCGTCTTGAGCCGTCGGAATGCCGAAACGAAGCAACTGCCACAATCCTTCAACACCCTAAGGAACATCAATGATTTTGGCCTCTGCGGGCCCTCCTGGAGGACCTGTTGGGCCGTCTTGGAGGCCTCTTGGGGGCCTCTTGGGCCGTCTTTGGCCATCTGGAGGCCATCTCAGGCCGTCTTGGGTAACAGCAAGGAAGCAGAAGACAGGATTGTAATAGTGGAAACTGGAAACTGCAACCAGAGCAGGGAGCTGCAATCTTCACCTCGCAGCCTGGTGGCCCCGCAAAGGGGCCGGCGGATCTAATATTCCGATGTTGGAATGATTGAAGAGCGTGAGAGGACCACGGTCCGATCAAATATCGAGGCGCATCAATCCATTCTAAACTAAACGCAACTGTCAACATGGAGTGATCAACACAACATGTGACATGTGTCACGGCCGTCCCAGGGAACCGCGAGGTCCAATGTGGATGTGCGTAGCCGTTTTGGCCGACGCATATCCCAGGCGATCTCTGAAGCAGAGCCCCGTGCCGCGCTCGGCGTGTATTTGCCGCAATGGCCCGCTCCGCGTCCCTGCTGATCGCTTGCGCTGTCGCCGCCATCGCCGCTCTGTCGGTGGGCTCCCTCGTGCTGTCCTTCGTCGGCGCCTCGTCCCCGGCCTCAGCGGGCCTCCGGACTGGGCAGCGCGCGCCCGCCGTGGAGATGCACTTCTTCGGCGGCCCTCCGGTGACGACCACGCCCCCGCCGCCCGTGGGCCTGGGGGGCGTGGGCGGGAACAACTACGTGATCTCGATCACCATCCTCTTCTTCGGCTCGGTGCTCGCGAACGCCAACGGCTTCTTCGGACCGTGGTGAGATCCCGAGCGCTCTCCGGGCCAGTAGGTGGGCCTGCTGAGGTGGCTTCTCGACAGCGCCACGTTTTCCTGTGTTGCGTGCCATTTACGGGCGCCGCTTCTGCAGCCAGCGAACATCTAGGTTTCCTTCGGTGCGTTAGTTGTTGAAAAAAAAGGAAGTGGCGACAATTGCGCAAGTAGGACACCACTCCGCTAGACCTCCCTGGAGCCGACGAAACGGTCGACAGTTGCGCCGGTGGCAGCTCCCCCTCAATGGAACCGCGAGGTCCAGTATGGGTGTGCGTAGGACGCCAGTCCGCTGGGCCTCCTATGAGCCCACGAAAGTGGCGACAGTTCCGCAGGCGGCAGCTTTCCAGGGAGCCACGAGGTCTAGTTTGGGTCCCCGTAGGACGCCATTTAAAGTGGCACAGTTGCTCAGTACACAGCCCCTCAGGGAGCCGCGAATTCCAGTATGGCTGTGCGCAGGATGCCAGCTTGCTGGGCCTCCTGCCCATGAAAGTGGCACGAGGGCGGGATCTCGTCTGGATCTCCGTAGCATTCACTCCGCTGGACCTCCCAGAACCCCACGAAAGTGGCGACGGTCGCGCATTTCGCAGCCCCCCAGTAGGAACTGTAGAAGGCAAGATGGGACACCAGGAAGGAATCACAAGGGACGAGAAGGAGGATACAGAAAGAGAGAGGAGACGGGATGAAGAAGGGTGAGGAGTGCTCTATTCAAAACGAGAACCAAACACAGGAGGCTCGGGACACCATCACCCCTCCGGAATCACGTCCTCGGAGTTTGTGGGGACTCCCTGGGCCCCAAGCCCTGCGAAACCGTTGCGCTACTCGTCGTGCCAGCGGGGTCATGTTTCTCCCAGCGATGCGGTGGCCGGGCACGCTCGACCTGCTGGGCGGCGACTTGACCCCACACATCCTATACGAGGGGTACTGCTCTCTCTGGGCGCCCCCCGGACGCAGGAGCCCGAAGCAATCGAAGATTTTTGTTCCCCACCCATCTTCTTATTTCATTACGTCCCTGGCCCCCCCCGCTGGGTCGCGCACATGCCGCCGGTCATGATTTGCACCCCCCCTCTTGGACACTCCCCTCTTGGCATCTCCCGATTGTAGCCCTCGTCCGTGGCCATTTTTGGAAACGCGCCAAGCTCGGCCCGAGCGAGGGGCTCAGCAGGCAGCGCCACCCGTCGCCGAGCCGCTGGCGGCCCCACTCCCCAGACCCCCGCCGTCATGGTTTCTTCATAAGGTCGACCCCAAGAGGTCTCGACCCATTCCCAAGGACGGGTTTCTTATCCTGAGTCGTTTTTTGACAGCCCCGAGGCCCGGCAAGAGCCACCGGAAGCCGGAACTTGCAAACACCTCTCGTCGCGATTTTTTCAGCATGCGAGGGGGTCTGGGTCCCCCCCCCCACGGCGATGGTCCGGCCGCTGTGGATGATGGGCACATATTCCACCACCACTACCATGTGTAGGACGGGGGAGAAGGGAGGATGAGGAGGTCCTCCTCCTCCTCCTCCTCCTCCTCCTCCTCCTCCTCCTCCTCCTCCTCCTCCTCCTCCTCCTCCTCCTCCTCCTCCCCCTCCCCCCCCTCCTCCTCCACCTCCTCCTCCACCACCACCACCACCTCCTCCAGCACCACTGCTGCCCAGGCAGTAGGCCAAGCGAGTCCACACGCAGCGTGCCGAGCGCGGCGGGCCATCCATCCGCCTCCTGCTGTGAGGCAAGTCCTGGCCTGGCGCAGTTCGCCCGAGCGGGAAGAGGAGGAGGCGGCGCAGATGGCCGCCGCCGCGCGCCGAGGAGGCGGCCGCGGCAGCGCGGGGGCGCGGGTCGGCCGCGCGCCGCGCTCAGCACGGGCGCGTGTGAGCGCTCGGCGCTCGGCTGGGGGTGGGAGTGCACGACGCGTGCCCCCCCCACCCTAAAAGCTGCTCCTCCTCTCCTCCTCCTCCTCCTCCTCCTCCTCCTCCTCCTCCTCCTCCTCCTCCTCCTCCTCCTCCTCCTCCCTCTCCTACTTATGGTAGCGGTGGTGGAACACGGGCCCCTCAGTGGACTGTCCCCGCGCTCGCCCTCCTGGCCTCCGCCGCGGGCGAGCCGCAGAGGATCCCGCTGCGCAGGCAGAGCCCGGCCACCGTGGCGGAGGCGCTGGCGGCGGCGCGCGGGCAGCGGGCCTTGCTGAAGGCCCGCTACGAGCCTGGGGGCGGGCTGCTCCGGGCCGAGCCCGGGGCTTAGTGTTAGGTCGGGCCTGTCCCTCTATAGGGGGAACATTCAACAATAGTTTTAAACAATGTCTGGGGATGATTTGTTTCGTAGGTTTGACTACTTGGGGGTATGTTTGGAGTTTGTTTTTATTCTTCGCCCAGAATCCGCCTGCAGGGGGACACGCCCGACCTGAGCTTAGCGGGCCCTGGAAACGACAGGGCCGTTTCTTTTCGGGAGCGGCCAAGAGGGGGGTGAGGACAAGGGGGGGAGGATATCATGGCGGGGGCCATGATATCTCCCCAGATTTCATGGCGCTTCTTCTTATTTCAATGCGTCCAAGGCCCCCCCTTGGGCCGCGCCCATGCCGCGCCGCCATGATTTTCGCCCCCCCCCCCCCCCCCTTGGACGCTCCCCTCTTGGCCGCCCCCGATCTTTCCCGTTCCCGTTGTGCCGTTTTTGTTGCCAGTCCCGACGCCGTTTCTGTTGCCGGCTCCGGCGCCGCTTCGGCTCCAATGCTGGAGCTCTTTTTGTTGCCGTTTCTTTTTTATTCAAGAGACCTTTTTCGGACACGGCTTCTCCTTCCTTCAAGAGACCCTTTCGGAAACGGTAAAAAAGGCCCTGCCGTTTCCGGGGCCCACTGAGGCCTGGGGGGAGCGGCGCCATTCCGATCCAGGATTTCAAGAACAACGCCTATTACGGCGAGCTCGGCAACAAGTCATGGGAGCCTGGGGTATGCCCTCTCAATTCTTCTTCCAGCGTCGATAAGCGTCTGGGAGTGGATGTGATTGCGCCGATTTAGCGCTGGTTAGCGTCGATGTAGTGTCGATGTGCGCCGATTTTGCATCGACCAGCGTCGATTCGCAAGAGCCGACACGATGCTATGGGAGGCTCCCGTGAGTTGCCACCGAAGGCGAGCTGGCGATAGGGACACCCCCTCAGCCTGCGAGCGTAATCTTCGACACGGGGTCCTCCAACCTCTGGGTGCCCAATGTCGACCTGACGGGCCAGGCTGCGGCCACCAAGCACCTCTACGACAGCGAGAAGTCAGCCACGTACGTGGCCAACGGAAAGGTGTTCAAGATAGAGTACGGCTCGGGCAAGGTATCTAGGCCTCCTGGAGGGGGGTCCGAGTAGATGGGGTCGAAGGATCGCGCCACATCGCCGATGCAGCTCGATGCTGAGCCCGATTTTCTCCATGCTGACGTCGCCGATGCATCGCCGACGCATCGTCGATGCATCGCCGATGCATTGGCGATGCGACGCGATGCTCCGACCCCATCTACTCGGACCCCATCTAGGAGGCCTCTAAGGTTAGCGGACACTTCTCTGAAGACACTGTGACAATCGGCAATTTCTCCGTACCGCAGTACACCTTCTCCGAGGTGGACAATGCCGGCGGTCTCGGCGAGCTCTACCTGGAGTCACCGTTCGACGGCATCTGTGGCCTGGGGTGGGGTGCGCTGTCCGTCGGCGGCGTGGATCCTCCGATGCAGGCCCTCGTGGAGGACGGCGACATTGCCCAGGGCGTGTTCAGCTTCCACCTGGGACACGTGGATGGCGAGGTTCGGGGGCGGCAAAGAGTGGGGTGATGACCGGGCGGTGTATCATGGCCGGGACCATGATTCGAGTAGGAGATCGACTACATAATTGATGTACCTCGAACCGTTGATTCGTTGAATCTACGAGACATGAATGTCGTGTTCCTCAGATCTACGAAGGTTTCATCACAAGTTTCGTAGACTCGTAGATTCAACTCTGTAGTCGATCCCTAACCCGAATGATAGCTCCTCAGATTTCATTGCGTCTTTTCTGATTTCAATGCGCTCTTGGCCCACCCTTGGGCAGCGCAAGTGCTTCTGACCATGATTTGCGAACTTCTCTCTTGGACGCCCCCCTCATGGACACCCCCGAAGGTAGGGGAGCTGGTCATTGGCGAGACAGACCCCAGTCACTACAAAGGGGACATGGTGTATGCCAACCTGACGCGCATGGCTGACAGCCCGAGCAGGGTCTTCGATTATGGTTTCTGGCTGATCAGGCTCGACAGCGTGGCCTTCGGGGGGACTGCTCTCCCGGACGCGACCGCCATCGTGGATTCTGGCACCTCCCTGATCGGCGCCCCGGTTGCAGCCATCGCAGTGATCCAGAGCAAGATGACGCTCCAGCAGTATCAGGCAGGGCTGGACCTATAAACGCTGTTTTGTTGGACTTCGGCCGTGTGTTGTGTTTCGTTGTGGCGGGGAGATACAGGCACACGGGCAAAGCAAAACGAACAACAAAACGAAAACATAACGAATTAGCCTGACGAAGGACCCAACCATATGCAGCTGCGAGTGCCGCATTGTGGGTACCGCTTTCGGTGGAGCTCCCTATGGGGCCACGAAACGTGCGAGGGGTGCGCCAAAATCGGTAGCGCGGACGCATATGGACACCGCCATTGGGGCCTTCGGTGGAGCTCCCTATGAGGCCACTAAGCGCTGTCCTGGGTGGCGTTGACGCATGTGGCCTGTGCCACTGGGGCCTTCGGTGGGGCTCCCTGTGGGGCCACGAAGCGCTATCCTGGGTGGCATTGACGCATGCGGCCTGTGCCACTGGAGCCTTCGATGAGGCTCCCTGTGGGGCCACGAAGCGCTGTCCTGGGTGGCGGTGACGCATGCGGCCTGTGCCACTGGAGTCTTCGGTGGATCTCCCTGTGGGGCCACGAAGCGCTGTCCTGGGTGGGTGAAACGCAGGGAGGTGACGAGGCGGATGGTAGGATTGAGGATGGGGAGGAGGAGGGGGAGGAGGAGGAGGAGAGGAGAGGAGACGCGGGGCGCTGTTTCTTCAAAACGAGGACCCAACACCACAGGATGGTTGAGCCAAACGAAAGCGAAACGAAAATCAGAAGCAAAGCGAAAGCAACACGAACTGCACAG